TATTTCTAGGCAATGAATGAAACCTAGTTGTAACACTTGGGTAAACGATTTTGTCCCATGATGCTGATCTCCGTGTTAATGTTAATTATTAATTGTTACGTTATGTAGAACAGTCGTGCTAAAACAGGTTTGTATTAATAAGAGTGTGGAAATTTGTTCGAGATCGGTGTTTTAGTCTGTAGTATTATGAATTTTTGTATTCATGCTACAAGCCTTGTGACTTGATGTGCAGTATTCCATGAAACATTGTATTTTTCAGGAGGTCAGCCATCAAGTATCCCAACAAGCAACAGCTCAGCCAGTCTTCATTCGAAACTTGTGCCAGGTGGGAGCATGAGATTAGCCGATCAGGTCATAGAAGAAGTAGATGAGCAATCTACTGTTCAGTCCATAAAGCCTCCAGATCAGCGGCCCAATGTCAGAACAATCTTCCCCGTACCTACCGGACCCCCACCTGCCTCTGCACCTGTAGCAGTGCCGAAAAGTTCTTTTCATACAGTACATCTGAACTTTCCGCCTCTATCTTCATGAGCACCTGCATCTGCTGCAATTCCATTGCCAACATCTCCAGGCCATTCAAGCATGACCTATACAGAAATACTTTCAGTGTAAAGTGCATGTACAAATTTTGTGAACATTCATTGAAAAATGCAAGCTATGACATCACATCCAAAATATAAAGAGAACAGTCGTGCAATTTACCTGAGTATACTCCAGGGGCACACTGATGGAGTCATAGCTTAGCAAAAGGCCACACTGTCTACGAAACTTGTTGAGTTCATCAATGATCGTTTTCACTGCAACGTCATTGTGAAATTTTGATCGAGTCTGGCTCTCGTCGTTATGTTGGCAGCCCATGTGATGGGCAGCCAGTGTTTGGAGAGGTTTGGATAAGCATAGTGCACAAAATACTTCATGGGCGTTTCATTTTTGTTAAGAAGACCAACTTCAACTAAGTGGTCCATTGTTGGAAATGTTTTTTTTACTCTTGAACTGTTAATGGTGAATGTTTATGCTTTGGAATATATCTTAGTATTTCTAAACGTTGATAAAAGACCGTAGTACAACTTCCTTGGGAGGGGAAGTAAAGGCAGTGGTCCCATGTCGTAGATTTACGGCACGTGAAAGAAACTTACGAGCATGAACGAGAAGTTTCTTTAATGGTGAATACTCTCCCTTGAGACACTGCCTTTACGTGGCGGAGAGATTGCATGCCCTGTTTGAAGCGGTGTCTCTCCTGATTCTCTATTAAATGGCAGACTAATCAGGATTGAGTACAAATTCTGCAGAGGCAGTTTTCTTGTCACTCACTACTCACAGGTGCACACTTCAAAGACTAGGAAACCTCCCGCATTGGAGGAGGCCAAGGTCTGAACTTGGGCCTTAGTGGCATTGGATGGATGTATATCTGAACCTTGCTGTTCTCTGCAGTTAAAAAGAGGGGCCAGACGAAAGGTGTCTCAAACCACTCCATCGGTTCTAGTTGGGCATGTGGCCAATAACCCACCCCATAAAAATCAATTGTTGAGAAACCTCGTGAGATGTCTCAGAATGGATTGGAATATCTAAGACGTGAAGAAGAAATAAGCTAGTTCTCCTTGTTAGAGACCTTCTAGAAGAATATGGAAGAGAATTGCGCCCTTAGCCAATTTGGTACTTGGAACGTAAGGACACTACAACCAACCACTGCAGCTATAAAATTATCAGTGCTGTTGTCCAGTCGTAACCTGCAGTGGCCGGACAGACGGAAAGTTTAAATACCCCGCATTTACCACGGTTGTGTTGTGATGGCGGTAGTTTTATTTAAATGTATCTGCTTGTGGAAGCGTTAATACAAACTGCATTTAGACGTGCTAAGTGTGGGGCTGGATCCATGTTTTGAGAATCACCACATGAACCTGAACTTACAAATGCTTTACAGCTTGACACATTTACACTTGTGTGTGCAAACATAGCAATTTTTTTCCTTGACATGTGAATAGTAACAAGGTACTATATATTTCGGTTTTAAGAAGTAATAACACTTTGTTCAATGGGTATTATTTATTTTAGTGTTCTGTCTGACGACAGGTCCATATGAACAGGATCCTTCCATCCTTTTTAGCATATCTGTTGGTTTCATCTACAATGAGCTGCACAAGAGCTGTATCGAAAATGATTTCGAATGAACTCACGACATCTAGTCCAGCAGTGTCGAACCGAGGACCATATACATTACAAAATGCTTCTCTTGAAGCAGTAAATGATTCTATATTTTCCCACACATACTTGCCAGAAACAATACCTGAATTTGTCTCTACAATTTGTTCCTGGCTTTCGCCACCACCATTGTCACTCTCATTATCACTAATCGCGGCAGTTCCCGGTGTCACCAACTGCGTATAGTCAAAGTCTACACTCTCAGTGTCCGAGCTACTATAATTGTCACTTTCATCGTCTAGAAGTGCCCTTTGTTCAGTGTCAGACAACACAACTGGTTGAAGGATTCTCCATTGCAACACTGAGGCCAGGCGTTTATTTTTAGACTCCCAGGTAGTCGCTGAAGGGATATTCAACAGAGTTGCCGCATCTTCACACACAGAAAACTTTCCACGACAGAGTAGTACAAACCTCATCGCGCTGGCGTTATTCGTTACAAAGTTATGAGCTGTAGAAATTAGGCTTACAGCCGGACGTAATATTACTCCAGACCACAACCAGGAAAATTTAAATGCCGGACATACTATTACTCCACTCGCCGGTCAGGAGTTAATACAGCTTAAGGTTACAGCTGTACAGGAGACAAGATGGATAGGAAAGGAAACATGGGTTCTAAAAAACACACTGATCTGAGCAATGGAAAGAGATGGAAGGCATGAAGCTGGAGTGGCATTTATAGTAGAAAAAGCGATGAAAAGAAACATTATTAACTTTGACCCAGTCAGTGTGAGGCTGTGTGTACTGCGCCTTAAAACTAAATTTTTCAACCTGTCTATTATCAATGCTTATGCTCCTACAGAGGATAAAGAGGAACTGATTAAAGATAGCTTTTATCAACAGCTAGAAAAGGTCTATGATGAACACCCTTTCTAATGGCATTAAGATGGTATTGGGGGATTTCAGTGCCAAGATAGGTAGGGGGGAAGTATACCAGGGCACAATCGGACAGCACAGCTTACATCATGACACTAATGATAATGGTCAAAGACTGATGGATTTTGCAGTAAGCAAAATATGGTAGTCAGTCCTACATGTTTCCCTCACAAAAATATACTTGGACATCCTCAGATGGGACAACGCATAATCTGATAGACCATACGTTGATTGACAGGAGGAATGCTTCTAGTATTATGGACGTGAGGACACACGGAGGAGCTGACTGTGGATCGGACCATCATTTGGTCAAGATAGTATCTAGATGTAGAATAAGGATCCAGAAATGTAAATACCAGCAACAAGAACCCATTATAGATGTAGGAAAATTGAAGAGATCTGATAAATTAGAAGCTTATCAGGTAACAGTTAAAGGAAATCTGAAAGAAAGAGATAGGGAGGATGATGACATTGAGAGGAACTGGCAACAGCTTAAACAAGGAATTACAGAAGCTGCAAAACCAAAGAGAAATGAATGGTATGACGAGGAATGTGAGATTGCCATCTGAGCCAACTACATCAGTCTCTGAAGTTGTGACGGGAATACTTCGAAAAGGGTGCACATGCATGTGGGGAGGTTAGGCCGGTTTAGGAGGGGGGCTGATTTGGGGAGACCTCGCCATCACACGGACGAGCACTCAGGCTGTTGTGACGGATCCGGTCAGTAACGTTCTCTCCGGCTGGGCACCCACTTTGAGGTGACCTCGGTTTGTATTTGTTTTCACGTTGTGGTTGCCAGTCGGGATAGGTATTGATTTTGTTGTGTTGGTGGATGGGGCAACCAACTTGTTTTGGGGTTTTTCCTGGTCCCTCCGGGTGGTTAAGGCCAGGTAGACGAATTGGAGTGTTGCTGAGAGCGAGCCGAGTCATTTTTTTTTTTCCCTCTAATATGTTTTGTTTGTGAGTTTCTTGGTTTGTAGTAGGGTAATCAGTGACCCCGTGTAACGTGTATGTATTATAATTTGTCTTAAGAAAGTATATGGTTTTGTTTCTAATTGTACATTGCCAGAAGGGAGTTACATTGCAGTGTTGCAAGGGTTGCCCCTAGTGTATTCTTCCCTTTGGGAACACCAGAAGTGGGATCCCTTCTGTATTGATCTCCTGGAGAAGGTGAGTTTGTGGGAGGGAACTTTAAGTGTTGACCAGGGTCTCCTTTGCTATCAACCAAGAGGAGTTAAGCGAAGGCATTGTTATATCTGTCCTCCACTACGAACGATGTTGGGTCACGTATTTCCATGAGTCTCCCTTTTCGGGGCACCTTGGTGCCCTTAAGACTTTAAAGATCACTTATAATTTCTATTGGCCCAAGATGAGGAATGAGGTGTGTAGATATGTCAAGACTTCTGACCTGTGTCAGCGAGCGAAGGCCACTCAGAATACTCGAATTGGGTTCCATTCTGCAATCCCATTGTCTCATCCGTTAGAGAGTCTTCACTGATTTCATGGGTCCGATGGTTAGGACCAAACGAGGAAATCAAGCCATTTTGGTCGTGTTGGATGGATTTTCTAAGTTTGTTGCTTTGTACCCGGTCCGAAACAGTAACGCAAAAACAGAGACATTTTGGAATGTCGGTACTTTCCGGCTTATGGTATCCCCGCCTCAGTGGTATCGGTCAATGCTAGTTTTCCGATGTAGAGTTTTTTGTGATTTGTGTTTTAAGTGGGAGATTAAGCAAATAAACACGACCCCTTATTATTCTCAGGGATCGCTGGCTGAGAGAGTCAAGATGAAGATCTCTCTTTGAGTTTAGCATTAAATACTGCTGTCCATGAGAGTACCCACTTTACCCTGGCTAAATTATTTTTGGGATGGGATATTAAATTACCTTTAGAAGTGAATTGGAATTTGAGCCTTGAACTGCATGAGGAAGGTCTTCCCAGTGAGTTGTTATGGACTCAAGCTTATGAGAATTTGAAAGCAGCGAATCATAGGGTTGCATGAAGGTTCAATGAATCTTGCATTCCAAATTTGTTCAAACTAGGGGATACAGTGTATCAATTGAATTTGATGAGTTCCAGAGTCCGCGAAACTTTGGCCAAATTGATGCTCAACTGGTCAAAGCCAGTGGTGATTGCAAAATTTTTTAATGCAAATGTCGTATTGTTAGTGACTTTTTATCTTGTATAGTTAAAGACAGGAACATGTTTGTCTTTCTTTGATATTAGTCATAAAGTTGTTACTAATAAAAGTTGGTATAGTTTGTTGAACAGTGAACTGTTGTTCTGTGATAGAAAATATAAGTATTATGAATTTTATTATGTGATTTTCACTTGTTACAAGGTATCTTTCCAATAATAACCTACACAAACTAAATGGGTATGTAATAGGCATTTAAGGTTTTCACAGCAGTGAGTTCAAAGGTGACTGTCCTCTGAGTTGTGCCTCTGAAATGGCGAACTTTCTACCAGACTAAACAGTGCTACAACCCAGAAGACAGACATCTTATAGTTCTGTGTATGCAGATATTCTGGGTAGTAGCACAGTGTTTTTGTGGGTACCTAGATTTTATAGCAACATATTGCCCCCTTCTGAAGTGAGGTTAGCCAAAAATCCAAATGCATGAACTGGATCATCAGGGAAGTGACTGAGTTCAAGCTCCATCTCAACTACTTGAAAAAAAAGTGACTGAGTTCAAGCTCCATCTCAACAACTTGAACAAAGAGAATGGCTTATCCCTTAGCAAGTTATGGAAACTTCATATTCATGCCTTGAAGGAATAAAAGCAAGAACTCACAGGACACTTCATTTCATCTATCTGCTGGTGATCCATGTAGTGGCATTCTTTGATAGTTGACCTGATACTGCTCTAAATAACTGCATTTCTTTCATACCACTGTTTTCAATATTAACCATATGGCATCCTTCCCCTTACTCCATTTTCAACCAACTTTTCTCCCCCATAAAATAATATGCCATTTGAGGGTCTCTTTTCCTTTGTAAACTTTCCAACATACAGAAATGCACAGTCCATCACCATGGGCCTCACAACAGTACACAGTCATTGCTTAGTGTTTCCTGTGCTCCATCTCCAGGCGAGGCAATGAGGATGTGTTGGGCTTTATTGTCCTCATTGTATTCCCTTTCTATTTACAGCCAAGTCTTCGCTGCATGAACAAGGTCACAAATAAGTTGTTCCTTAGTTTGCGAGTAGGTCAATTTAGTCCTTAAATCTTCTATATTAGAAAATAATTTATCTCCCAAAAAAAAGACTTTTGTTCACTGTTCTCTGACTTATGCCATAACTTTTAGCCATCCTGTCACCTGTATCAGTTTGGTTTGTGGGTGATGTAATTTTAACTACATGGGGTTTCAGAATATTCCATAGTTCATACAAAAATTCCACTCTACTTGCAGATGGGTGTGATGTGCCACCCTCTCTTGTCTTTCCAGCACAATTCTGTGATACTGATAGACCTTCTACTAACATCCCATTTCCTTCTTTTCAGGGCCCTGGGGCCAAAATGTCAGGCATTCCATATGTTCTGCCAAACATTGTCACAGTAAGCAATTTTCTTGTTTTAAAAAATAGGGTAGTATATGTAAAGTATCTTAATTATCCATGTACAGTTTGTGACCAACATCCTCCACTTCTTCCAAGCTATGTAAATGCACCATTTAAAAGTGTCAGATCAGCAGTTCTATCTCTACACTACTTTGCTATGTAAGCCCTCATGTTGCATATGTACCTCAAAGAAGAGCAGAGATTATAGATTATATGTCAAATATCCTGTGCTTCTGTGTATTGAGAATTTAGATACAGGCACTTCCTAGCTTCCACAGACAATCCTAATTCTGCTCCTTGTATGTGGTGGGAGTGGCAGCTGAATTATCAGCATAATTCTAAATAAGAAAAACTAGGTTTTTAATAATTAATTTAGACAATAACTATGTTTGGTATTGTTCACTATGCACCACTACCTCTTAATTGAAATCCTCTTTTTGTGCCCTGTTTAGAAAATCAACATTGGAAAACTTCCATCTCTTCTCCTATGGTACCCTGTGGTGGCATTCTGCTAGTTGTTTGTAGGGTGTAATACTCATGGTAGTACATATTTGATTCCTCCATTAATTATGTGAATAAGAACTCTATGAAAATGAGTTTGGAGTGTTCTATGGGAAAAGAATCACCCTTTGTTATCAGGTGCTGCATTATTTTGCCAACATACCACTGGATCCTGTAAATTCTTGTTCCTGTCTAATACTGCTTCTGTTCACCATATACCATCATCTGCAAGCTACTCAAATCAGCTTTCTTTTGAATAAAAAAGATATATTCCAAGCAGCTGGCTTCACATTTACATTGCATCTATCATAAATCCTGGTCTAGATACATTCCTTACCACATTTTATTCCCTGAAATGGGGATGTGTCAAGGGCCCTGCTATTTATTTATTTCTTGAAAATAAATGTTGATATGTGAATGAGCAAACTAATGAAAATTTAGAGCAGGCACCTCACCATGATAGTATACCACACCAATGCTAAAGGTACAATGATATGAACTACAAAATAAAAAAAGGGCAGAGATTAGAATTCAAGAAAATGACATGAAGTTTTACAACTTTTGTTTCAGGTAAACAAAATTGTACATGAAAATTATGAACTATATTACTTTACTGCAATGCATCCCTAAATGGACCTTGTGTTTGTGTGTATCTTTGAAACTGCACTGTAAAATAATGTTATATTCAGATATAAATACAGTAAGAAACGCAAGGGAAGGTCCTGGGAACTGTTGAGAAGTATATCATGGTGGACTGACTGGACTCTGCAATATGTGAAATAGGAAGAATAATAAGGGCATAAGTAATACTAATTATAGACCAAAAATGACATAGGGCAAAGGCACCCACTGACCAGGCTCATAAGGAATATACTCCCAAATACTTCAGAACGTGTATTTGACGGTACTCGAAACATCCTGGAATCATTCATCACAAAGGTGTTCTTTTGATTTTCGTCGATTCGCCTTTCTGGAATGTCTGTATATCGTGCTGCTGCAAATGAGGGGGTTCTCTTTCAGTTGAAAGGCAGATAGACAGCACGTACCACAGATAATACCAGCGCAATACAATAACGGTGTTATAAAAATTTGTTTCCTGGCATAATAATGTAGATTACATATTACAGACCAACAGTTTATTTATCTTATTTTGAGCATCTGACTCTAACCATTCCCAAACGTGAGCCCCGAAAAATTAAAAATTAACTGGAACACTAAAGCCATACATTTCCAGACTTAGAAATGTTATATATTCTAGACTGTAGCTCTATAAAGATCCAGTAATGTTACAATTCGTAGTTTAGATATCCTTGGTGTATGTAATTGGAAATCTGTGACAGCTGTGTATTCGGCACACTGTTATTGGTGTTCTTATCGGTTTTTGAATCACGTGCAGCGATTGCAGATTGCTAGTACATTATTAACCTAACTGCAAAACATTGTATACGAAAATGATAATATAAAATCAAAGTCATGATTGTACATAATGTATTTTCAATTTAATGTTTTTGGGTACAATAATACTTCACAGCTGTTTTCGTATAATTGACATGACAACGCCCGACTTGCACGGCTAAGAGTATATTGCCAGATGTGAAGCAGACGTTAAGGATATTAATTGTGTCGTCGAAGTTTGTTGCATTAGTTTCTAACAACTGGGGAAGAATAGATGCAATGGCAGCTCAGGTAAGACTAGAACTATTGCCTAAAATCGGAGAAATATCTCCCCGCAACAGTACAAAAAGTTTGAATCATGATATAAAGGTTAAGGCAGTACTAAATAATATCTCGTATCTCAATAGATTTTCCCTCGAATCGACCAAAAGTTCTCAGCTTTTATAAATACGTGGAAGTAATATTGATGATCTCTTGTGCAATTGTATTTGTTGGAATGTTGTAGGTAAATGTAAATCACTGCCAACTTTGTAATTTGTAACTGTATTAGAAACAAGTATTGTGTTTGGGCTGTGACATGTTCTACTTCTTGGCTTAGGCTTGTGAAGGGTATGTTGTATTCTGTGGAGTAATATCCAATTGCCTGTATTACCTAAATTTGGTTTTTAGGTTCATGAGTTCAAAGTGGCAATGACCTGCAGTGGTTGTTCTTCAGCAGTAGAAAAAGTTCTTGGGAAACTAAAAGGTAGGATATGTAGGAAATACAATATTAGATTAATCCCAGTAGTATGTTTATCCCCAGAGTCCAGATTAACTGGAGTAGCCTGTGTTCCAGTCTTGTATTATGTTGAAGGGCATTTCATTGTATTCGATTAAGGTTTCAGTTTCTAAAGGTTTCTCAGAAGCTCCACAGTGTTATAATTTTTTGCAATTCTTTGTACTCAAAATTGACATTGCAAAATAGAGTAAAAGTTTAAACTTTACCTCGGGATATGTTTTTCAGTCAGATATTTTCAGTAATGCATGTTTACGGCCAAATTAAATTATATAACAGTAGTGACAGACAGCTGAAAGTTCCAGTGGGATCTCTATATTCTTGCCTTTTTGCAATAAAGTGTTATCTAGCTCGGATATGGACTTTTTACACATGGCATGAACTGGGATAGCTCATTCTTGTGACTAGCTATAGGCTGGAGGACTGGGGTTTGATCCCTGATGGGGGCAGAGGATTTTTCCTTTGGCCTCTGCGTCCAAACCGGCTCTGGGGTCCATCCAGCATCCTATCCAATGGGTTGCCAGGGTCCTTTTCTGGTGGTAAATTGCTGTCGTGGCATGATGTTGACCACTCACCCCTATCTAGTGCTAAGGTCAATAATGAGTAGGAGCTATACCCCCTCTCCCCCCAAATGACCTACATGGTATCTAGCAGGACTGCTTTACTTTCTTTACTTTTCATGAGATTTGAGTTTCTCATGGTGGCGAGTGTGAAGATGGTTATCTTCTGAGTTGTTGGACTGTGTAGTCTGGTAAAAGTTTCAGAGATGCCTGCTGCCTCCATCATCAGGGCCCTTGGATGTTCATTGTGTTAAGTGATCTCATTTGATGCTTGAAACATTTACACCCAATAGAAAGACTGTATAATTTTTAAACAAGCAACACACTTTATGGGCCCATCCCTATTTGTCTTTTGCAGTTTTCCTACAGGGGTAGGCAACTTGTATGAGTGGGTCATTGTTGCTCATTGGGAACCCTTCATTACAGTTGTTGTAGCTCATTGTTGAAAAACAGTGGAAATAGATAGTTGTAACATTGTGCATGTTGTGACATGATGAACGAACACCTTTGAAATGTCAGTGTATTACAAAGAGTACACCTGTCCAGTCTTGTGATAATCATCTCTGAACAGCCTGAGGAAAATATAAAAAAAACTCAGGATGGTAGGTCTCAGAAGAATTTAAAAAATGCCCTTGAATGAAACTAGTTATGCTGTTGCATAGTTATTAATGAAGGAAGTATCAACAACATAAATTACATCAAACTGGAACATAATTTTGTAGTGTATTTTAAAAACTCATATGAAATTAATTTTTAAGAAAGTCAGCAACTTTTGTTTATTTAAGATGAAAATAAAACATTCTCTATGTACAATTTAATATGAACTTTTGGGAGTGTTAAAATGGTATGCTTCTGAGTTTTTTTTTAAGGAAGCGACATATCTAATGTTTATTTGTAGGTTTAGCCCCAAGTTTTCATATTCTGTGTAGAATATTTAGAAGAGAAGAGCAAATCACACTTTAAATTAAATGATAGAATTTATTTTTCTGAAATTGTGAAAGATATCTGTAACTTGTCAGTGGTCTGACATTACTTTTAAAACTGCACCCTGTTCCTAAAGGTGTGTGACAAATGTCTAATATTATTATGGATGTGTTTTATTTTAACTGTGCCAGTTATCTCAATTAAAAGATATGCATTATTCTTCAGATGGAAAGAAGTGGTAGCCCTTTGGATAATGCTGATGTGTGTCACTAGTGATAAGGCTTGAATGTTAGTCTGTGCAATGAATGTTATTTAAATAAAATTCTCCATATCTATAACTGTAGTTTTGTTGCAATACAAGGTCTTATCTCAGTTTTTTCAAAGGAGTAGAGAGGTAGTTACCATGAACTGAGAGATTAATTTTTTTCTGTGATTGGCCATGACTGTCCTAGGAAACTTGCTGACTAACTCTCTGTGTGATAATGAAATCCAAAGGTTCAATGCTTCTGATATCAAAAACTGATACTGGGTACAATTCTGAGTACGAAGATGTCTGTCTTCTGGGTTGTAGAACTGTGTAGTCTGGTAGAAGTTTACCAATGTTTCAGAGATCCTTGCTGCCTCCATCATCAGAGCAATGAATAAACCATGTTTGTTGAATCAGTTTCATATAGGAACCAGTCAAGGCAAAGCCTAGGCAGGACCTGTGGAGAGTAGAGTCAGGATCGGGCAAGGACCTGGGAGCCAATAGGAGAGAGGGGCATGCCTCAGCCTGGCCAGCAGGAGGGGGGAATGTCAGGAAAGAGGGAGAGGTCCATGATAGTAGCCCGTATAAGGGCCTCTCGGGATCTTGCGGGTGGATCACTGGACGTAAAGGTGGTGGGTGATGTGGCCAGGGCTGGGTGGTGACCTGAAAAGTACAGTGTAGTGGCTTATTGGCCAAGTTTGATACAGCATTGCCAGCCGTCACCTGTCACTAAGCCATTTCTCAGTCCTTTTCAGGACACCACTTGGCCTTGGCCACATCCACCAACCTTCCATACGTCTGGTGATCTATCACTCTCCAACAGGCGTCATGACAACAATTTTCTATCCTGAATTAAAAAAAATTGAATATTAGGGTGATAAACTTGGGTTAGTTTCTTGCTCTCAGACACAAAGATTTGTTATTTGCAAACATTTTATTTTATGTTTAGAAAGGACACTCATAATTATTATTTTTTATGAATATTAAAATAATATGTTATTCACATGATTGCAATGTCTACATTTTGGAGTAATGTACTACCCCCATGTTAATTCATGAAGATGGAGACAGTATGTTTTTCGGAATTTTTGATATCTCACAACAACATTCTACGATTGTTACATTTTTTGTATTTTCAAGGCCAAGGTGTGGAAAAGGTTGACATCTCACTTGAAGATCAAACCGTGCTTGTTACTTCAACATTACCAGCAGATCAGCTACTGGAAACCATCAAGAAGACTGGAAAAACAACTTCCTATGTTGGAGCAAAACAATAACCAAATGGATCGCTTTACAAAGCAACATTCCTGATTTTAAAATTTAATATTTTATTGGCAATATATGTTTTCAATCTTCAGTTTGTGACATTAGATTGGCATTAAATTTGTACTGTATAATATTTAACAATTTAACAATGTAGGACTGGCAGCTTTTAATCTGAAATTTATTAGTCATGTATTTTGATTTATAGATTGATAAGCATATATATTTATGAGAAATTTATAATTAACTATTATAAGATTTTTCCTTATAACTATAATTTATAGTTGGAAAATATTTTGTTTATACTGACTTAAACAAAGTATGTGTATATATAAGACACATATTAATTATGTCACATTTCGGCAATGAAAACGTAGAAAACTCTCGTTACTGTCTTACTTTTTCTTTAGGCAGCTTCTCTAAGCGGTTGGTAACTTGGGGTTTGGTGTGTTAAAGATGATCATACTGCAGTACTAGATCATGCGTGACTTGTTTATCTGCAGATGAATCATATGAATAGGGTTGGAAAATGTTGACTGTTTCTTTGTAATGTTATAGAACTAGCTTCCAAATGTTTCTAAGTTTTACTGCAGTGTGAGGCAAGTTAATATAGTTTTTTAATTAGCAGAACAATATTGTGAACAAATCAAAATATATGTTGTTACGTAAGTCTTCTTTTGCCTGTACAATTCAGATAGCTAATTACGTATGTCTTTGTTTTGGAAAAATTCAGAGGTTGTACAAAAGCATGAGAATTAATTTCTATGGGTATAAATGTGTATATTGATCATGGAATATTCCTCCATTGTAAGTCATAATTTTTCACTAGTTTCTGTTGTATTTGTTCAGCACTGAATGTAAAGGACACCACATACTTTTGGAGAAATAGCATTTTCATGTAAACTGTACAGAAATGTATTACACTTGTCTCATTTATTGGAAATGTTGTTAACTCTCTCACAGTCCTATTTAGATAATTGCCATTAGACATTATCATTTTGTTTGACAAAAACATGGTTGTGGGATGTGAAGCTGTTGATCTCTGTGGTGGTCACCGATGTTTTGGAGGAGCTTATCACCTAGTACATCTTCAGGATGGAAGATGGAAAGTGGAAGTAGTATATTTATATGTAAACATTGGTAGCTACCTGCAAGACTATGCGTTGTCACAACTCGGAAGACCAATTTTTATTTTTGCTGTCACTTGTTAACACTAACAGGAGCTGTGATGTAATTAAACACAAGTCTCCTGAAGCCGTATGGGCATATCTTAGTCTGCACAGCATAAAGTAAAGGGCCATGGGTGGTAATTCCAGTGGTAGGTGAATAAAGTCACAGCTCACCAATGTTGCAGGACTCGTAGTTAGGTTTCCAATTGTCACTGATTAACCAAAGAGTAACTAATCTGTATTCTTTCCTGAGATTGGGTCATAGCAACCAGCATAGACAAGAATGTTTCTGTGTCTGAATTCTCTCTCATACCCTCTAGTGGCAGGCATTTTTTTATTTTTCGAAAATTTTCAAATTTTTCAAAATGTCTTTCAAAATTCTCCCCACCTGATGCCTAGCAGAACCGGTCGCTGACGGACTGTTTCTGATATACTGTGACTGGGACGAACGCGATCTGTGCCTCACACGATCTCTGACGTGCGATCTCTGAAAAGCCCAGTTGCGGCAGACAACGTAAGGCACAGACCGAGACGGGGCAGACAACACCGTACATCAGAAACAGTCCGAGAGAGACAGGTTCTGCAAGGCATCAGGTCGTGAAATTTTGAAAAATTCCACCTTGAAATTTTTTTCCGATATTTTAAAAAAAAATGATTTTGTGCGCTTTTCAGACAATTTCCAGCGTTTTTTGATTTTTCGAAAGTTTTGAAAAAATTCAATATTTTTCCTAAACATTCCGCAAGAGATGCCTGCTAAACTCGGGGAATGCCTCATCCTGTCTCTGCAAGACTCGTCCTCCATCTTACCAGTTTGCCGAATCCTTCGGTATCTTCAACAAACCACCTCTGCAGCACTCGGTCTCCGGTGGTGAGCGTCAGCCTTACGTGTTGCACATGTCTTCTAAGAGACGGCACGTCATAGCTGTCATACAGAGACCGGATCGTGCAGAGCACGTCAAGCACAAACCGAATTCGTCAGATACACAGCACATCAGAAACAGTCCGAGAGAGACAGGTTCTGCAAGGCATCAGGTCGTGAAATTTTGAAAAATTCTACCTTGAAAATGTTTTCCGAAATTTTAATTTTTTTTTTTGGTTTTGTGCGCTTTTCACACAATTTCCATCGTTTTTTTATTTTTCGAAAGTTTTGAAAAATTTCAATATTTTTCCTAAACTTTCCGCAAGAGATGCCTGCGAAACTCGGTGAATGCCTCATCCTGTCTCTGCAAGACTCGTCCTACATCTTACCAGTTTGTCGAATCCTTCGGTGTCTGCAACAACCCCCCTCTGCAGGACTCGTTCTCCGGTGGTGAGCGTCAGCCTTACGTGGTGCACACGGCCTTCCCAGAGACGTCACTTCATAGCTGTCGTACAGAGACCGGACCGTGAAGAGCAAGTCAGGCACAGACCGAATTCGTTAGACAGCACAGTTCATCAGAAACAGTCCGAGAGAGACAGGTTCTGCCAAGCATCAGGTCGTGAAATTTTCAAAAATTCCACCTTGAAATTTTTTTCCGAAATTTTATAATTTTTTTGGTTTCGTGCGCTTTTCAGACAATTTCTATCGTTTTTTAATTTTTCGAAAATTTTCAAATTTTCAATATTTTTTCTAATATTTCGGCAAGAAATGCCTGCGAAACTCGTTGAATGCCTCTTCCTCTGTCTGCAAGACTCGTCCTCCATCTCATCAGGTTGCCAAATCCCTCGGTGTCTGCAACAACCGACCCCTGCAGGACTCGGTCTCCGGTGGTGAGCGTCAGCCTTACGTGTTGCACATGTTTTCTAAGAGACGTCACGTCATAGCTGCCATACAGAGACCGGACCGTGCAGAGCACGTCAGGCGCAGACCAAATTCGTTAGACAACACAGTTCATCAGAAACAGACCGAGAGAGACGGGTTCTGCAAGGCATCAGTTCGTGAAGTTTTGAAAAATTCCACCATGAAAATGGTTTCCGAAATTTTCAAAATATTTTGGTTTTGTGAGCTTTTCAGACAATTTCCAGCGTTTTTTAATTTTTCGAAAATTTTCAATATTTTTCCTAATTTTTCGGCAAGAAATGCCTGGAGAAACTCGTTGAATGCCTCTTCCTCTCTCTGCAAGACTCGTCCTCCACTTCATCAGGTTGCCAAATCCCTCGGTGTCTGCAACAACCGACCCCTGCAGGACTCGGTCTCCGGTGGTGAGCGTCAGCCTTACGTGTTGCACATGTCTTCTAAGAGACGGCACGTCATAGCTGTCATACAGAGACCGGATCGTGCAGAGCACGTCAAGCACACACCGAATTCGTCAGATACACAGCACATCAGAAACAGTCCGAGAGAGACAGGTTCTGCAAGGCATCAGGTCGTGAAATTTTGAAAAATTCCACCTTGAAATTTTTTTCCGATATTTTAAAAAAAATGATTTTGTGCGCTTTTCAGACAATTTCCAGCGTTTTTTGATTTTTCGAAAGTTTTGAAAAATTTCAATATTTTTCCTAAACTTTCCGCAAGAGATGCCTGCGAAACTCGGTGAATGCCTCATCCTGTCTCTGCAAGACTCGTCCTCCATCTTACCAATTTGCCGAATCCTCGGTGTCTGCAACAACCGACCTCTGCAGGACTCGGTCTCCAGTGGTGAGCGTCTGCCTTACGTGTTGCACATGTTCTTCTCAGAGAGGTCACGTCATAGCTGTCATACAGAGACCGGACCGTGCAGAGCATGTCAGGCACAGACCGAATACGTTAGACAACACAGTTCATCAGAAACAGTCCGTGAGAGACAGGTTCTGCAAGCATCAGATCGTGAAGTTTTGAAAAATTCCACCATGAAAATTTTTTCCGAAATTTTCAAATTTTTTTGGTTGTGTGTGCTTTTCAGACAATTTCCAGCGTTTTTTGATTTTTCGAAAATTTTGAAAATTTTTAATAATTTTCCTAATCTTTCCGCAACAGATGCATGCGAAACCCGGTGAAAGCCACATCCTGTCTCTGCAAGACTCGTCCTCCATCACATCAGGTTGCCGATCCCTCGGTTTCTGCAACAACCGACCTCTGCAGGACTCATTCTCCGGTGGTGTGCGTCTGCCTTACGTGTTGCACATGGCCTTCTCAGAGACGTCACGTCATAGCTGTCATACAGAGACCGGACCGTGCAGAGGAAGTCAGGCACAGACCAAATTCATTAGACAACACAGTTCATCAGAAACAGTCCGTGAGAGACAGGTTCTGCAAGGCATTAGGTTGTGAAATTTTGAAATATTCCACCTTGAAAATTTTTTCCCGAAATTATTCAAAAAAATTTGGTTTTGTGCGCTTTTCAGATAATTTCCAGCGTTTTTTTGTTTTCTCGAAAATTTTCAAAATTTCAATATTTATCCTAAAGTTTCCGCAGAGATGCCTGCGAAACTCGGTGAATGCCTCGTCCTGTCTCTGCAAGACTCGTCCTCCATCACATCAGCTTGCCAAATCCCTCGGTGTCTGCTACAACCGACCTCTGCAGGACTCGGTCTCCGGTGGTGAGCATCTGCCTTACGTGTAGCACATGTTCTTCTCAGAGAGGTCACG